ATGAAAAAATGCAGAGATTTTAACGTCACTCGCGAAAACACAGAAAGATTTCATAAAGTGGAAGTTGTAGGTCAGCATTTGACCTCGAAAAATTGGTGAATTGATGTGAACGTGTACGGTCAATAGTATCCACTGCANCAAGAAACGTAAATAGTTGTCCAATTTCGAAAAGCACGGCCGAAATTCAAAGGCCCGCCTGATACATAAGGACAACTGTAGCCGTTAACTTAAGCTGTTTTGTTTGGTTCGCCATTGGTCCACCGTTCAGAGGTAGCCCAGGGTCTCATTTACCCGCGCCCCTGAGATAGGAGGAACATGGACGGGAAAGACCCAAACCGGCTGCCAATCGCCCATCCTGGACGATTGGTAGTTAGTTGTTCCATGAAGTACGAGATATTGGCAGGATAGTCAAGCAATTGTTTTATACATTCTCGAAGGATGAATATACAACAACCATACATATAATCGCAGTGTCGACAATCATAAAAATCGAAATTATAATACAGCAATTGAAATAAGTGGAACGCACAACAACACCAAAAAGCCAATGGCATATTAAAATGGAAAGCTATGTACCTGAACAATGTCCATTAACTGATCACCATCCAGGAAGACGGAGCACACATGCCCCGGGATAGGAAGAGTCTTTTTAATAGCATGCTCCCGGAGCACGTCGGAGTTCAAAACCTCTGTCCATAAGGAAACATCACATGAGAAGTTGGGAAATAAAGATAAATCCAAGTTGCGCCAAACCATCAGTTGATCTGGAAAGGGAGAGACAAACACACAGCATAAACAGAGATCAGGAAAACATCCCTTAGAAAGAGCAAAATGTACATTGAAAATGACCGGAGAAAGATTTGAATAACAAACCGACTCATGACCACATAAGTTCGGTTTGAAATATTTAACAAAATCAATCCAGGAACGTAAGCAGTGTCCGACCGAAACACGAATTAATTTGAGGAAGAAACCGAATGCACGAACAACAACGAACTCAATCACCGATAATTCAATAGCTTGAAATCAAAGAGAAACGCGGTGCATAAAAAAATATTCATATACATCAGAATCCATCAACCAATACCAGATCCACGGTGGCAAGAGAGCATAAATACGATAACGACAAAAAAAACAAGGCCCGGTGAGGAGCGTAGCTGCCATCCACAAACACATCGAACAAGAAAACCACTGTACATCGACGAAGAAAAAGAGGCGAGACGACCAGTCAAGTGACGTCCGATGCGAGTGAGCTGCTATTACGAGATCTCGATCCTTTCAACAAATGAGATGGAACCGCTGGCAAATCAAACGTCCAATTCTTGGGGTTGATAATCGGACGGTTTATCGCACCTCGACCTGTCACCAATACGGTTGAGCGGACACATTGATTTCGGTGAACACGAACGGATTTGTGTTCATAATCCGGTGATCCATCAGTCAATCAATGGTAATGACACTTATCTGAGGTGACTAATTGCTCTATCTCATACGAAACATCCCACTCTGACCTCTTCTGTGCCGGATAAATTTCGTGCTGTATTTACTCCAAAGAGGCGACAGATTACTCACTGCTGCCTTACAGTTCGCAATTGGTTGTGAAAAGCCTAGAGCTGCGCCCTCGGAATACAAAATCAGAGTGACGCTGCGGACGTCTCTCGTACCAAACTCCCAAGGAACTCCATGATCTTGATCATGATCATGTCTCGAGCAGGCTTGTCCTTTACAAGCAGCAAGCCGCAGTTAAGTGAGTAGGGAAGTAAGTAAGAGGAACCATTACGGTTCTTGGTCACCCAGGACATTGATGACAAGTAACCAAATGCAAATAAGCGGGAACGTCAGACCGACACAAAACCATGCATGTGCGATCATTGAGAACGCGATCCGTCAGCAATAAAATCCACAGACAGATCGAATCACACTCAATATAGTCCACCAGCGAAACCCAATACCAACAACAGCCAGGTGAGGGCATTAGAGTGGACAGGCGCATTAATCACCAACAATTCATTTCAACCGACACAACAGGTCATAATCGAAATAGAAATCACAAACATATGGACAATAAATACTACTACAAATACCGAGCATGCACATGCACACACACACACACACACACACACACACACACACACACACACACACACA